ATAGGAGCGCAGGAGATCCGCAGCAGGAAGCTGCTGGTGCGGTGGCGCAGGACAAGTTGCTGTGGAAGAACGAGAAACAAAAATTAGCTGCCTCAAGGTGAATCATTTCTGTGCTGAATATTTGAAATCAGATAATAATTTTGGAAGTGAGAAAGTTACCAGGAACATGCTGAAAGTGGTCCCGCTGTTGAGGTGGTGAGAGGAGGACGGCAGAAGAAACAGGTACTCGCTCAGCACCCGTCGCAGACTGACAGCCTGTATACCAACAGTTCACCAAAATATAAACCATTTTCACCATTTACCAAATTCCTCTGGACAGAATATACACAGACAGACTGCACAAACCTGCAACTTTAACCTCAGAGTGTGGGGTTTGGCCACTGTGTTCACTCAGCAGTCCGAGCCCTCCCATCGCCAACACCACTGTGTCCAACTTCCGCTCCAGCTCTGCTGTCCGCTGCTGTAACCCTGCCTGAGAGGCACATCGTCACCAACTCATGATTTATCAGCATAGATGGAGTAACAATAACCTACGCCCAGTCCCACCTGCAGGGTTGTAGCCTCCTCTCTCAGAGTCATGGTTTCAGCAGTGAGAGCATCAATGAGCCTCTGCTGCTCTTTCAGCTCCTCCTCCAGTTTTCTCCTCTCCTGTGCCGCCTCCTGAGCTTCATCTTCCCTCTAACACATTACAGGCAGACAGTGATTTAAACACATATAGCAGACTGCAAATATTTGCATCAAAGCAAACCTGCGCTATAATTTAAAAACTAATTCTATTTATTAATGTGAAGACCCCTGAAAAAGATAAGAACTGTGCTTCAGCATATTTACACGAGACTTTCAGCATTAGTGATGCTAAATCAGTAATAGTAACAAACATTTTACAGATCAAGCATTTCTAAAATGTGGTTTTGCTGCTATCTAAAGATTTCAAACTAGGAATTCGTGTCTCCTTGCATCCCCATCGATGACATGACTTTTTAAATAAAACCAACATTTAATAAGAAATGAATGTATCCTATATCCTATAAACTAAAAGATGCAGTGACAATGGTACCACGATCTTATTTTTTGTTTATGTGAGTAAAGCCTGCATGGATTATCTTTAGTTTGAATAATAATCTCCACAAGCTTGTGTGACAAAACCTTTTTTGATATCCGGCAGTACCTTTTTAAGGAGGTGCACCAAATGTCCCAGTGTAGAGACCAAGGCCACAGAAAATCCAGTAAGGCTTTGTGTTCTGTGCTTTTTGGGACTCTGTGCAGATGTTGGTGCTGTATCAGGGCTCAGTGCGTCCAAATCCGACTCCACCTGACCCAACATGGCCTGCAGCAGGCCCAGACTGGACTGATCCCCGCTGAGAGAGGCAACAGAGGAGCCGTCCAGCTCTGAACCCTGGGAAACACACTTCCTGCCTCTGCTGGTGTGATTACCGATCCAGTCTGTTCAGCATATAAAAGAAGAACAACAGACATGATCTCATCTCCAAACAGAGTATTTCATTTTGGAGAAAATCCATCCCTTGCAGATATTACCTGACTTGCTCTGAGGCGGTTCAGAATTAAGAACCTGAGAAACCAGGACTGATGTTTCCTCTCTGGCGTCCTCCGACTGACTCTGTCTGGACCGAACACGCTGAACAGCCACGGTGGCATTGAGAGCTGAAATGACATTAGATAAGTGTTTATTTTCACGTCTAATGCCAGATTGTAATAAATGATTTCTTGATCACTACTTAAAATAAATATAACGCACTTCTAATGGCACTAAGACCTTCTGATTATCTGTTTATCTTACCTGTCTGAGCTGGTGCCCTGTCTGATGTACAGGGTGTCACGGGACTATTATCCTTGTCTCCACGGTGACGGCTGTGATGATGACCTTTGTGTTGCTGTGACACTCTAGCCCGAGGCTGCGCCTTCATTTTTTGTACATTGACCCTGCAAAAAAGCGTTATGAGCAATCTAATAGTGACAGCAGCATCTCTGTCACTGTTGTAGTGTATAACAGTTAGCAGGGATTAGCACCTTCGGATTACATGATACTCTGAACTGGTTGAAGGACGGGCATCATCGTCTCTGTGGTCGTCCTCTGAAGCTTCCAGTTCATTAAGAGCCTGAAATAAATCATTGTAATTGTGTAAAATGCAAATAAAAACTCAAAACGGTGTATAGAATTTAAAAATACACTTTTTTAAATCAGTGTAAGCATTGGATATGTTACCTCTGGAGTGTTTTCTGTTAAATATAGGGTTTAGATCATTAAAAGAAATAAAATAAACTAATAAGCATAGTTGTTGTTCTTTAGATTATACACTGCACATGCTGTATTATGAAGCTAATAATGACAGTCTCAATAACACACACACACACCTCTTGATCCATCATTGACTGGCTGAGGAGAGACAGAGGAGTTGGACGATCTGGTCTTTGAAGAACAGGCAGTTCTGAGTCAGAGTCACAGTTTGGAGCCACAGTCACTCTGGGTTGTCCTGAGGAATAACATTTAGACATAAAGCAATACTTCTGCAACCATCAGAGAGAATTTGTGGCTCTTCAAAATGAAAATACTGGGACAAACACCCAATGTTCAACAATCGGGTATCTCAATGACAAAGCAATGGACAAGAAGTTATTCTATCTAGTCACTGCATCTGTTTATCTGCACACAAAACAAGTTGCCAGATACCGGTGTGCCTGCGTGGAGCATCTCCAAACAGGTCTTTGACCACAGCCAGGGCTTTGTCAGAACGGGCCAACACATCCTGCAGCAGCAGCTGATCAGAGAAAACCTGCAGCAACGCCACACAACTGAGTTTAACTCAACACTCAACACTAAAAAGATACAGATACACGTGCAATGCTGAAACTGAAAAATCAGAAACAGAGCAAATATATATATTCTCACAGCACTGTACTTACCTCCCTGATGATGCTGAGACTGGCCTGGTCCAGGGGTGCAGGGCTCCCTGCGTGCCTGAGACGTCGTTTCAGGGCTTTCTCTTTCAGCTCCCACTGAGCTGCTGCTTTGTTGTGAGACTTGTGGAGCTCATGCCGATGACTCTGAACCAGAAGAACAATCAGACAATCTTGAGACCAAGGTACAGTAAATAACACTTAAAAAATAAAAAGTGCAAATGTTCTTGCACCTTACCAGCTCCGCAGGTGTCAGCTTGTGCACAGAGAGGTCGTTGACAGTGCTCTGAAACCAAAGCGCTGAGAAGTTAGACAGGCTAAATAAAGGAACTTATAAAAGGTTAGCTTGAATGTTTGTTTTTTTACACCATGAACATGTTTCTTTAGTTTAGCAAGAAATTAGATTCCTTGATGATCTGAGTAACCTCTAGAAAACAAATAATCTCTCCTCATACCTTTCTATTTCAGATTATGGTAGAGAAGATTCACAGCAAGCAAGAGTAGACTGTCTTCTAATTGCACAGAAATATGTACAAGTACAAGACTGCCTGCTTAGTTGTGACTGGCCTTCATATGTCTCTAGTATTTGTTCAGCTGTCAATACTCACCACCCACTCTCTTCTTTGAGCTGCTGCCTTCTTGGGGCGAACAGGCCTTTTTCCTTTGGCGTGCTGCTGTGGACGCCCCACTCTCACAAACGACATCTGCTCACAAACAATACGACAAGGAGACTTCGTTAAGGCTGCACACGTTTCATTTACCAAAAGTGTCTAGTATGTAACAACAAGCTAGCTGTTAACTCTCATTCCCATGGCGAAGCTTCTGTAACTTTCACTAAACTAGGATGTACGGCTGAGCTATCTTAGGCTAAAAGGCAAGTTAAAACTGAAAAAACATACTTTTTACAACGTGGAGCTCCGGTTAATAAAGAGAAACGCCCACCAAGCTGTCTTTAGACGCCGTTTTAAAGGCTGGTGACAAATAATAGCATCAAAACCACCTCTTCAGTTTGTGAGACATTTTTCAACAGTTGCGCGCCACTTCCTGTGCCGTTTCCACGGATACCGCTTCAAACAGTGGAGCATCACGGGAAATGAAGTGCTGCTGGGAAAGGTGGCGAATCCTTTTCATTAGGCGGCAAAAAATGCCCCCTGTCGGTGATTTAGGGTCAATGTGAGATACTTTATTTTTATTACTGGTTAGTTTATATCTGAGGTTTTTATTTTGAGTGATAAAATTGCTTTTACATCGTAAATCCCTGAGACTAATTTCCACCCATTTACCCTGTTTGCACTCTCTTCTTCACCTCTCGTGTGTTCTCTCTGTTGCTTTGGATAGTTGATCGTAAGTATTTAAACTCATCCACCTTTACTACCTCTGCTCCCCACTCACACTACAGATTACAATGTCGTTTGTGAACATCATGGTTCGGAGCAGATCCCCGATGCAATCCCAGAAATAAGCTTTAAAGAAGACCACAACAATTTTCTTTGAATGTTCCAGACATGCTGGTAAAATTAAAAATTAAAAACTAGGCTAAAAATATACATGTGAAATTATATCGTGCACTTTTAAAACAGTTAAAATTCAATCAAAAATATTGATGTGATTTTAATTTCTTTGTCAGTCTGATCAAAAAATTTGCCTTTGATAAATACGTTCATATCGCAATAAAAATACAATGATAGTAAAGTGAATTTTAAAAAACAGATTCAAAATTAAATAGAAATAAAAATCTTAGAGATGTTTTCTGAATGAAGGTGAGGTTCTTGAAAAATCTTGTCTAAGGCTATTTGTCTCGGCCTTATGAGGACATCCCCGCTCTTCAAATGTTATTAAAATTAACCTTCAGGGGAAAAAAAAAAAACTTATGGGAACTTTCACTAGTTGTTGCTAACTTTCCCAAATAACCGCCATACAAAAAATAAAAACTTTGCATTAATATCTGGAATCACCACTAGATGGCAATGTCACTATTTAAATGTCTGCTGGTGTTGGCGCAGACGTTTCCAACTGTCAAATGTTTCATCTGCTCTTAACCAGAGAGGAACTGATAGGGTTTATTTATTTCTTTTTATATCGCACAAGGCTCAGACTGAACTGGTTTAGGTTGCACTGTGGGGTAAGTTCACTCAAAAAATTAACGCTGTAGGATAGCCTGACAATTGCGACAAACCAACAACAATATTTAACTGGACACATGGTGTCTTTCCTTCAAGGTAGTAGCATTTTAATAGTAGTTTATAGTATAATAATAATAACAACAAATTCAAATAGTCTATCTGTATACCTGGAAATCGGTGTAACATATGAATAATGTATTTTAAGCCAAACTGCAGTTTTTTTTTCACTGAGAAAAATCCCTTTGACCTCAAGTTAAAAATTTAAGATCCAATCTGGACGACTGTTGCCAAAAAAGACGGTCGGGTGATATATCTTCTTATTTTACTTTTTTAAAAATATCAACTAAATTGCAGCATTTTGACCAGTGGTATGTAGTTTGTTGGTATTCCCTGTATATCTACTCTGGTTGTTACAGTGAGGTGTGGATTTGCATCTGACTTTTTACACGCCCCTCTCACTCTGACACAGGGTGGGTTAGATTCTGTGGGCTTCAGTTCAAGACTGACACAGATTTGGTTGACTGACTTCTGACACTCAACAATGCAGGCCAAGCCACAAAAGTTTGAAACGTTATCTTTACGCACGGAGCTGGCTGTGAGAGGACTCGAGGGTGACAGCAGCTGCGCGCCCATGGATCAGGCTACAAGTGTTAGTTTCTCTGGATCCCCGAGGAAAGTCATTTGAAGAGTTCAGCCTCGCTGCAGTGCCAAAGGAAATCCATTAGTTTCTCTACACTGGATTTACCAGACCTCCGAGGGTTTGCAACTGGAATATCAGTCAAACTTATAAATTCATATATTTTCTGACTTTTTTTTTTAGTAGTAGTATCCATTTGGTTTTTGTGCATCTCCTGAATAACCGGAGTCACTTTTGGAGAATTACGCACGCGATTTCTCTAACAAATGACAGCCTCTAAGTGGTTTGTGGCTCCTGCATTGCATCCCCTCTGCTCCCTTCATCGGACCGACCCAGCGTATCACCCCCCTCACCAGCTTAGACGCTGGGAGTAAAAGCCTCTCAGTCTCTTCCAGTGCGCCAGCGTGCGGCCGCGGGCCACCTGGCCGAGAATGTGGGGAGGAGGTTTTCCGATGTCTGTCACCGCGATTGTGACTCTGCTGTTGGTTATTATTGACGTGAAAGCGAGCGGGGAGTTTTGCCACGGCTGGCGGGACTCCCAGGGTGTCTGGAAAGAGGGCTTTCAGTGCCCGGAGAAGATAGACGGAGTGGACGCGATAATCTGCTGCGGGAAATGCGAGCTGCGCTACTGCTGCTCCAGCACGGATGCGCGGCTTGATCAGGGGAGCTGCGATAACGACCGACAGTCACCGGAGCCCGGGACAAACAACAAGGAGAACAAGGACTCCGGTGCAGGTACAAGCCCATAACTAATTCCGCTAATATTATGAGTAGTATTGAAAGAAGAGCGCTTAAACATGTGAAGAGCAAAGCGCAAACAGAATAAAAACTAAATGTTTGGGGGGGTTCTTTAAGTTAAACTCTTGTATAGGAAGTTTCATAGTTAAATCCCCTGTGTTCTGTAGACTTACGTGTGATTCATATGAGAGAGACACTGAGATAACGTCGGTGCACTAAAACTGCCTGACCTGTTGCTTCAGTGGGGAGAGTGCAGTCTTTGTTCACTTCAGAATTTACAGTCTCAGTAAAACCTTTTTGATTTTATTCATTCCATATAAATCTTACCATACTGTATCCCATAAGCCAACCTCATACACACCCCACTGCTTATGTACAGGATGCCTTGAATTTGATATTGTAAATATCATTTAATATGACCTGCTGGGAGCTTTGGTTTCCTCTCATAAACCCAGCAGACTCACAGTATCTCCCTGTTAAAAGCTGCATCTGCTGGCTGGCAAGCGACAGCTGCACGGACACAGCAGACTCCTCCAAAAAAACGGTTAACTGCCCTCACAAATGGCAAACTGTGCCGTGCTGCTGCACTTTATAAATAGCCGTGTTTGTTCTTTAACAGTGCAAGAGAGGGGCCGGGCTCAGATCACGCCGTCCCCACGGGGATCAAGTTTGGACTTGACCGGATCTTGGACAGTGTAGCTCACGAAGGGTGCTGACAGCTCTGTTCATTAAAAAGAAGAAAAAACACACGCAATTTGCGTTATTTCCTCTCAGCAGGCTCGTGGAGTCTCTTTCTGTTGGCCAAGCTGCTACTGTAATCTAACCACTCCATGTCTCTGTGGTATCTGTGGGCTTTGAGGCCCTCACACTCAGGTCATGCTTCAAACTAGAAGCTCACATATAAGAGGCATCATTGCCAAAACCAGAGGCAAAGTATGACCCACATTTTCCAACTTTTACCGTGGATTGGGTGACAGACCTCTCCCCCTCTGGCCCCTCATTCATCACTGCTTACATTCCCATAAGTTAATCTACTGTAAAGTCTCTTGAAAGTGCACCATATCACGAAAGAAACATACTAGACATGAGAGAAAAGTGCAATACATGTTTCCTCAGAGGATACCCTGCCTTCTCCAGCTACAATCTGTCATTTGCTAATACTGTCACAGCTTATCACTACAGGAAGCAATATATACATTTCATTCATAGGCCTCCAGCCAAAATTACTTAAAGGAAAACCTTTTTTTCTTACAAAAAGAAGAAGTGTTTTTATTCATCCACAGCCCAGTTCACTTTGTGCATTTTACACATTTTTCATGTGCATGCAGCCTATTCATCATCTCAAAGAGATACACATAGTGCAGTGTTGGGGGAATAACACGAAGGAAATTATTAATGTGCTGAACATGAAGGAACATATGGTATTTGGGAACAGGAGAAAGCCCATGGGATAGGCTGAAGGAGGGGTCCAATCAGCCAGCCAGCCACGAAGAATCTGCCCAAAACAAGAGCTTAGCAGAGGGGGCTGCCACAGCTCGACTACAGCAACAGGTGTGGACGAATGACAGGGAACAATAGGAGGATGGGGGACAACTGCCATGTGCACAAAAAAATGCCTCAAAAGAAAGAAGTAAAGAATAAAGTTAGTTTTTTCAAATTTATGTGAGTACTAGGTGGGGTTTAGTGCTCAGTGTTCAGCAGGAAATACTTGTAAATATTACAACCAGTAAGGAGGCTCTGTGGATCCTCTATCAAATGTTATTTAGTAACTGGTGAATTCTTAGCTTTTTTATTTAACCACCTAAGACCCGAACTCTTCCATGACATGCATTTTTAATTTCTCTTTGATATTTGGGCTGATTGGGACCTGATGAATGTAAAAACAAAGAATTGCCAGATATTTTTTACCTGATTTTTGTTTCTGACAAAAATGAGATGCACATATGAGGATATTTGTTTAAAATTTTAATCGAACAGTGGCAGTATAATGGCCTCATAAGTGGATATCAGGCCCGAAATTTAGTACTTTGGTCAAGACAACACAAAATGTGATGTGATCTCCAGGTCCTAGGAGGTTAAAGCTGCACTTCACTTTATCTGTTGCTTTGGATATCTGCAAAGCCAATCACACACAGCCTCTGCTGCACTTTGTGTCAACTGGTATTCTAAGAAGCTAAAGTAACATTAGTTAACTCTATACCTGATAAAAATCACCATGTGGCATGTCAGCATCACGAAATCAGCCTTTAGTGCAATGCTCAAAGCACAGCTGTGCCTCTGCACCGACTGACTGAGCTGCAAGCATGGAAACATGCTCTCAGTCTTGTTTCTTCTTTTCCACTCCATTAATCATCTCTTGACCTTCCAGATTTATCTTGTGACCCCCTTCAGGGGGTAACGACCCCTATGATAGGACCCAAAGGCCTAAACTCCCTGACTCTACAGATTCAGTTTCAGCAGCTACAACAACCACAAGATTCAAACTGATCCATTACCAGCGATGTAATAATGAAATATACAAAAAGTGAGGCTCATATGGTAGCTGATTTTTCGATTGCTGTGTACAGTAAAGAGCTTATTTACTACTGTGCATTAACTTTTTAGGACCTTTATTCACTCCATTAATGATTTACCATACAGTGTTTGGGAAAGTAGCTCTAATAGCAGTGAAGTCAGGGGTAAAGCAACACAAGGAGAAAGTCCTTGAAATGACTGCTCCTCATTAGCATTGCATAAAAAGGGAGTGGAGGTAGAGATGTTGAGGTGGAGGCCATATAAGTACAGGAAAGATGGCACAGAGAGGCTCCCTGGTACATTTCTGCTCTTGTAACTTATACTGTAAATGTTCCTTTTACAACCTGTTTACTGTGAGGTGTGCAGCTGTGTGGTGCAGAAGCCTCTTAAGTTAACACCACTTCTTGTCGAAAGGAAATGGGTCAAGGTCCTGGTTTGTTTCATGTCGGCGTGCCTCTGCCTCTGCTCTTGTTACCAAGACCTTGCTGCCTCTGCCCATGAGTGATCTCCTGCTCTTAACAGCTTCCATGCAGTAATCCTTTTAATACCATGCCACGTTTGATGAGCATTTTGGAAAAAAAAAATCAAAGTCCCATGGATGCATTTCAAAGAGCTCACAGACAAAAGGAAACTAGAGCCAGTTTGCCACCTCTCTCCCTCTCTTTCTCTCTCTCTCCGGCATACAGTTACACCTCGTAATACACGGACACATTCAAAGTGGAAAATAACTACACCCAGTGGGAACAATAAAACACAACTAATCACTTGTAATGTAACATGGTCGTTATTGTGCTTTGAAAGGTGTTTGTGGTAGTGAGCATGGGAATGAGCGACTGAGGGAAACACCTCATCGGCGGTGACCTCATCTTGAATGTCGCCCTGTTTCAGCCTTCAATGCTTTACCGAAAACGAAGAGTCAGGAAAAACTGTTCCTACTGTTGATCGCGCTTTAGGCTTGTTTTTGGAGCTTTTCCTGCTCACTTCACAAAATTTACAGACTGACACTGAGTTCTTCTCGCATAATAACGTGCCAAAGCTTCTACCTGCTCACACAGACATCTCCTATTTGACCCAGCAATTTATAGTCTGATTGGTGGAACTGTGAGAGTTACACAAATACGTAGTTGTTGAGAGTATGATTTGCTGCGTTAAGCAGAAACAAAGAAAAGGTCAGTGAGAAGGAGCTGGTTTATTCCTCTGATTTAAAGAGCTGAATAACCTCCCATTCAGCTACATTAAATCAGTCCACTTTAATACCTTTCTTTAAGCAGATGCCAAGTACTGTACTTCAACTTGAGTAACTTATTTTCAGAGGATTAGTAAAAAAAAAAAAAAAAAAAATAGGGGTAAGAGGAAAAAAAATGAGAGAGCGAGAAAAGGGTCACAAATGTTGGCTGGCAGCGAGGCTTAAGAATGTCACCAGTACAAATGCACACAGGTCTGTGGGGTTGAAGAGGCCGGGGACACAGTGGGGTGTGCAGGATTAAAACAGATCAAAACAAAGTTAATAACTGCTAATGAGACTCTGGGACTCCCTGGGGACTCAAATCCAGTGTACCTTCTATTTTTCTGCTCCAGTCCTTTGTTTCACTGTCTCATTCAATCACCACTCACATCAAGGAGCCCCTGTGCAGATAAGCAAGACATGTGAGCATGCAAGGCAGCACAGCTTTACAGGCAATAGTTTTTTTCACTAATCGCATATTTTACAGCTGTTTTACATCTGCTCCGATGGCCGCCCCTCCCTGAGCCTGGTTCTGCCGGAGTTTTCTTCCTGTTAAAAGGGAGTTTTTCCTTCCCACCGTTGCCAAAGTGCTTGCTCATAGGGGGTCATATGATTGTTGGGTTTTTCTCTGTATGTATTATTGTAGGGTCTACCTTACAATATAAAGTGACAAATTGGTGCTGTAGAAATAAAAATGAATTGGATTAATGTCAGTTTAATGGCAATGTCTCTTCTTCTTTTCTCTCTGTAGTTCCCATCTACGTGCCATTCCTCATCGTGGGCTCAGTGTTCGTGGCTTTCATCGTGGTGGGCTCTGTGGTCGCTGTGTGCTGCTGCCGGTGTCTCCGACCCAAGCAGGAACTGTCCTCTGGAGGCACGACAGGAGGTGGGGCCGGCGGTGGTGGGCGCCTCCTGGAAACCATCCCTATGATGGCGAGCACCTCCAGGGGTTCCTCATCCCGCCAGTCCAGCACAGCCACCTCATCCAGCTCGTCCGCTCCAGCCGCTGTCCCCCGCACTGCCCCTCCTCCAGTCATGCGGGCTCAGGCCTCCTGCTGCCTGCCCCCTGATGCCAGCGTCTTTGTCAACATGCCCACCAACTTCTCCGTACTCAACTGTCAGCAGGCCACCCAAATCATGCCTCACCAGGGACAGTTCCTGCATCCGCAGTACATCGGCTATGCCCACCCCATGTCCTCTACCGCAGCCTACTTGGACCCCACTCAGGGGGGCTACAGACCCCTCCAGTCACCCTGCCCTCCTCCCACTGCTGGCTCCAGTGTCACCAGTGATCAGAAACACCCTCCAGTGACAGTGTGACGAGGGCCCAACCAGCAGACCACTCTACCACTTTATTTTCAAAGATTAACTTGTGAAGTTTAACCTGTGAGGGCTGCGGCAGACAGACCTTTGGGCACACTGCCAGAGGGGGGGGGTTAAAAAAAAAAAAAAAAAGAAGGCAAGGAGTCAGACTCACATGAAGGACTCATAAAGCTGTTCCTGGTAGCTGGACCTGCCCTGTAACTGTGTGTGGTTTGTGTCTGTTTTGTATGAAAGGTGGAACGAGCTAGGCTCAGCCTGCGATGCGTAAGGCAGATGCATAAATATCCTCTCACTGGATGCAAAGACAAAACTGCATCTCGGAGGATTGTGCAGCCCTGATGAGTAATAATGCACAGTTCACTGCAGCCTGGAGATCAAATAAAGGCTGCATGTGTTTGTGTTTGCATGGATGTGTGTGAGAAAAAGATTTGCAGGCTTATATGTACAGGAATGAGCGATGACTGGATGATTTATAGCAGCGGACTGTATGAAAAATGGACATTCAAGCAAAAACAATATATGACCACATGCTGTGTTTATGCCATGTGCACATCTGTGCTTGTGAATGATTGTGAGTGGTTTATATAATACAGTATATTTTTGTTTGCGCTGAAAGTACGAGGAAAGAAAGCATGTGGATAGATATTTGTACTGTTCGTGTGCGAGTCCGAGAGAGTGTGAAGTGTGGAGGGATGCGGTGGCCTTGTGAGTGTAACTGTGTGTAATGGGAAATGCAGGTGGTGTGATGTGAAAGGCAGTCGCGATCTCCCTGTAGGCCATTTAAAATCTAATGAAGTGAGCACAGGACACAGACTGTGACGCTCCACCCTACTATCCAACCCCCCCGCCTGCCACCCAGAAAGCAAAAAAAAAAGAAACAAAGAAATACAAAACCCCCAGAAACACATTCAGAAATCCCCCCAAAATTAGATCTATTCACAAGGCAGGCCGTTAATGTTCCTTGGACGTGTGAGAAGTGAGAGGAAGTTCTCTGAGCATTACAGTTAATTATATAGCAACCCCCCCCCCCCCAAAAAAACCCAAAAATGCCAGCTGCCCCCTTCACTTCTCTCCCGCGAGGTGTGTGTGTGTGTACTTCACACCACCACAGTTCAGTGCATTAGCACGGGCAGCTCCGGGGCAGCTCTGAGTCATTATTTTCCACTTAGGGAGGGCAAGGAAGTGGCCGCTTTGGTTGTTAATCTGTAAAAATAAGCGAAAGTTGCTGAATTTTCTGCCGCTCTGTGTAGCGGTGTAAAGCTGTGCCACTGTAACCGAGGAACGTGCAGCTCGAGGAATGTGCTGCTCCACCGAGCGTGCAGCCCGACATGTCCTTTAGTACCGAAACTGGTTTGCTTGCGCACCTCATCTGTACTCCAAGCACAATGTCTGTAAGATTCATTGGGGAACTTATGTGACGTGTGGGGGGGAATAATAGTAAGAGAGTGTGTGAAATTGTGGAATTATTTTAGATCGAATGCATTTGCTCCACCTGAAATACAGTGATTTAATGCAGGAGAGACACTTTTTCATATGAAACTGAAAAAATAAACATATTTTAAAACTGAAAATAGGCTTGCTGTGAGTTTTCTAATAACCAGGAAGGGGAGTGATACTCAAAGCACAGACGCACATTTGGAAACAAAGCCCTGGTTAACAAAAACAAATATGACTGGTCGACTGGGTTGTTTTAATCTCCTTAAAACACTCACGCACTTAAACTACTAGAAACACATTCACAGACTGGTCTACCTCCCACAGAGGACGTCACCTGACACACACACACGCACACACACAGGAGAAATAATAAACCACAACAATGGACAGTTTAAGAATATGATGATGTGAAAGTGCAGTTTTGGCAAGCTCCTCCAGAAACTCAGCTACAGTAATGTGGAAAGCATATCGTCCCGTTGGAGAGTCACTGGGGAGGAGTTGAAAAGCATAAAGCAGCACCCCGATGGATTCTCCATACTGTAGCAGCTGTAGTTTTTCGGGCTGGGCCACATCCAGGAAGGTGGGTGGGAAAGGGATCTCCAGTTTGGGGAGGGTGGTGGTGGTGAATTAATCGGCTAATGGTCTGTCTACAGTCACTCCCTTGGGATTAAAGAAGGAGCGTGGGAGAGGTTTGATTTGGCCAATTTATAAAATGCTAAGCTTTTAATGTTCGCATTGACATTTTCTATATTTTCTTTTCCTTTCCATCCTCTGTGTGAAATGTAAACCAAGACTCCTCCAGCTTCCCGGGAGCTACAGTTGGACTCAAAAACCCCTCGCTTTGATTGCAAGAGCACACAGCGCGCAGCCAAAACACAAAGACATTTAGTCAGGCCATGGATTGATTAGATTTAATGATTAGGACAACCCCTCTCGCCCATCCCCTTTCAGTTTTGCATTCCTGAACCAGAGTGTCCTCAACACAGAGCTCACAGACAATGGACTCTACATTCAGACAAACCCCAAAGCTAGAAAAAAAAAAAAACAACAACACATGATCCATGCGAGCGTCTCAATCAAATCCCTTCTGGTTGGGTGCCTTTTAGGGCAACTTCAAGTAAAATACTCCCGCTAAGACATGTTTTCACATATGAGTACAAAAGAAACAGGCATTAATGAAAAGAGAAAAAAAATAGAAACAAATACACATTGATGTTTGCTTTAATTTAAAAAAGAGAGAGAGACAGAGAGAAAGAAACAGTCCAGTAAAGAGTGGAAATGCAACAGAAATAAAAGAGGAAGCGCTAATGCCAGTCATGCTGCTTCCACGTCAGCTGACGGTGGTAGACGGGCGACGTCTGGAGTCACGGGAGAGGTCAGAAAATAAAACAAAATGGATTTCTTTAAACTTGCGAAAAGGAGGAGAGGGACACGGAGGCTGCAAAGCGGCTATGAGATGGAGAGATAAGGAAGGAATGAAGGGAGAGCTAAAGCAAGAGGAGGTCTCAGTGGGGTAGGAGGGGCTGTGGCAGGGTTGTGGTCCGGTTTGGTGAGCGTTCTGCCTCAGTGGCATCTTTATGGTGTTTGGCAGTGAGGCTCGATGCTGAGATGTTACGAGAGAGAGAGAGAGAGGGGGCCTGTAGCTGGGGGTGCAGGGCTCTGGCGGGTCCTCGGTATATGCTTCCCACCCTCTAATTTTAAGGAATTCTTCGCGCCTGTATGCGTGTGAGCGAGCGAGCGAGTGCGACTTTATTTTGACGTCCCCTTCCACATCGGCATGTGATGACAGACGGGAAATGAGAGGGAACGGTGGATGCGAACGCACATGGATCGACACACGCATGCACACGAACACGGGAGCGCCAATGCGTGCAGACACACATGCACAGGCAGACAGAGACGCACTGGAACGCGCACACACACACACGCTTGCGCGCACACACGTAGGCATAAAGCAAACTCAGTCTGAGGGATATACAGATATGAGTAGCAGTCTCTGAGTTTGACTTGTCACGTCTGTGCATGGATATGATTGCTCATGCCTGTGCAGCCTTTGTGAGTTATAACAATGGTTAGTCCGTATATCCGGCCTGGTCCCTTCTCCCGAGTCAGTCCTCCAAGCGCCAGCGACGGCCTCCATGCCTGACCATGACTTCCGTCCCTGGCAAGGGGTCAGGTCACTGTCCAGTAAGGCCACAGCAGGGGTCGGTCACCCGGCGTGAGGGTGTCACTTAAGTCTATCTCCGCTGTCACCTTGACAAATTCTTGCTTCAGTGAGCCAAAGCTTTGATCCGGGATGGGGCTAGAGGCTGGGGCGCTGGCGGGTGGTGTCATAAGAGCGCACTACCTGGGATTGAGACACCACACCATGCTCCTCCTGAGAGAAGGCATAGCCATCTGCAGAGAGACAGAGGAGGAGAAGTCTTACTTGTTAAGCCTGTGTGCTGAGTGACAACAAAACTGGGAACACAGAGATGACACAGTGAGACTGTTGGCTTCTATCAGTCTTATGGCTCAGTCACATAAACTCCTTGCAACTAGGAAAAATTGAGATTTTTTTCCTGTGATTTTTTTTTGCATTTAAAAACAACCTCAAGTAGTGCTGGTGATAAACTGGTAGCCCAGAGGCTGAGCATGCATCACCCTCAACCTCTGGGCTACCACTTTTGATTGCAGTGCAAATACGTATGTTACATAGCACTTTTCTACTCTGCTGGAGCACTCACAGTGCTTTATACAACATTCATTCAGCCATTTACACAAGCACTGTGATCTTATATTCAAACTCCAACACATACATCAGAGAGCAACTCGGTTCAGTATCTTTGGCATGCAAACAGGAGCAACAGGACCAAACATCCAACCTTTGAATTAGTGAATGATCTGCTCTAACTGCTGAGCTGCAGTGATCGTACGGGAAACCTGTCTTCAAACAATTGCAGACAAACTCAGACTGACCACCATCTAATTTGCCATCTAATTAATAAACAGACACAGGTTGCCAACATGTTGCAATCAATCGCTGTTTGCACTGATAAGCACAACTCGTTTGCAACAGGGAACTTGGCTGTTTGTTTTCTGGTTATTTGCCTATATAAATGCATATAAAAGTAGCTGAGGGGTTATGGCACTTAGGCATCCTGCAGCAACTCTGTCACTATTTTTGGAGGAATTTCTGCTTTATATCTATGAGGTTCTTGCTGGTACTTAATCTTGTGAGTACTTAATCGTTAAGCCGTTACAAAGCCTTCCTTGCCAAGGATTTGCAACAGATTTGCAATTTTTGCTCTTTATCACAGTTAATTGCTGGATTATCGCAAACAGGTTGCACATAATTGCCACCTTGATCCCAATCAACAGTAAACTGATAGCAGACCGACTCTGTCTTACTGGTGTTTTATCACCATTTTGACGCACTGAAGTTGCTTTGAAGACAGCAGCTGGTTGTTTTGTCTTTGAACCATTTCAAAAGTCAACAAGATCACAAATCAGTTGCGCACAGTCGCAATAGCTTTGGCCTCCAGCCACCGTTCGCCTTACTGTGACTGGAGCATTAAAGCAAGACTTGGTTTACATGATAGCATCTCTTATTGGAAAGAGCACTCACGTGACACAGTCTGCTGCACAGAGTTTGAGCGTCCTACACTTGAAGGTGTTTTCCTAAAGACTCTTGTCAGCAGATGGGCCCGTTCGTTTAGACTGCAAGATAAAAAGAAGGAAAGGTAAGGAAGAACATTTACTCCGAAGCAGCACAACATAATCACTATAATAACACATAATTATACAAATGAGAGAATCTCTGCTACTCCCACAACTACATAACACCCTTACTAACAACCAGTCTACAGACTTTCAGGATCTTTGCCTCTAATTTTTCTATGACTATGATTTTTAATCTTAGCTGCCCTTCAGTAAAACACTGCAGCATAACAGAAAAGCAAAGCACTTGTTTAGGGTGTAACATAGAAACACACAGATCAATAAGTAAACAAAATCTCAGCAGATTTAGGACCAGAAAGTTTGTTAGAGGTGGATTAGACAGCGACTGCTTTTCACATTCACTTTAACAGTAAGTCATAAACTGCCTGCAGGGTAACAGGACATCCACAGTAAACTGTTCCTCATCCCCACTCCACTCCACTCCACTCTCCCCCCCATTCCAAGAAGAAGACTGGACCCTCTGTTCTGAGACCACACGCCGTCACGGCTCCTCTCCTCCGGTGACCAAAAATAACCAAGCCCATTCCAGATACTGCGCACTAACACAGGCCGGCTCGAATGCATACATACACACATATATTCATACATTTGTCTCCCGTGTCATCGCCATTATTACAGCCAATAAAGTGCAGACGTCGAATGTAAACGTAAGGGGCGCCTCGGGAAGTTAACTTCTGCCATATTTACTTGAAGGAATACGTTTTGTGCAGTTATCTGCCAGTGGAGCATTAAATTCACACACAAGGGTTTTCCCTGGCACTTAGAGTACACAGAGGTGATGATGATCAGTGGAGTAATTATGGAGTCGACCCAGCCTTCCCAAGGCTAACATTTGGAACAAGCGGTTAGGAAATTTTCATAACTGTCTAAGACCGCTGGGAATCTTTCACTGGTGTGAAAAAAAGAGAGCTCTCGAGCTTGCTCAAAGACTTTCTGTTATGTCTGTTAAAATAATGTCTGTTACAAGGATGACGGCACTGTGAGGTCGATAAAATTACTAAACAGTGGCTGGACAAATAAATGAACGGCCCGTGCATCAGTATGACTTAAGCTGTCCTCGCTCCTGCCGTGAAGTTTCTCTGTGGGTACTTTCTGATTCAAAAGGGCCTGAGGATGTACGCTATTTGAACTCTTCCCCCCGAGACACTCCCGTACTGTACCTTTCCACCTTTTCCCATGCCTACCCTCCCCAAAAACTACAAACACAGATGTGCTCTTTTCCATTTTGCTCCATTGCTTCCCAGCTCACCCTTAGTTTCCTTCTCTTATTCTGAATGGAAAGCACTCAAGGATGTGTTCCTGCCTCCCGGCGTTTAAAAGCAGGGTCAGTCAAGGACGGAGCTCTGTTTAAGGGTCAAGAGGAGCAATGTGGTTTTACACTCACCCCCCCCCGACTTCTTCTGCTCACTTCAAGAAACAAGAACCACCTCTAATGTACTTTCTCTTGGTGAAACCTTTAACTCAACCTCCTCATAAAATGAGAAAACTGTGGAACTCACTGTAACACAGGGAGATAAGTATTCACACTCCTCATGTGAGTATACGTTATGCAAACTTAACTTCTAATTTAAGTTGTCAAATATGAAGTAAAAGTAGAATACTTGTGTTGTTCTTGGTATTGTTCTTTATCATCTAACACCGCACTGTATGTTATAAGCTTATAGTGAGTTTTTACAATAAAAGCTAGCAGCCACAGTATAGCCGTCAAATAATAAATATGGAGATATAGTCAGATGTGTCCTACAGAGGTGTTTGGGGGCATTAAACTAAAGTAGCAAAATGGAAATTTCCTGAATCCCTTTGTGCCACAGCTAGTAAATCACTAAACGTCTACAAACTAGGTTTTCCAAAATACTTTGGATGCTGTATCAAATGTAATTATATGAACTATGTTTGATTTATTTCAAATTAATTAAAAAAATCAACATACCATATCTTAGAACGGAGAAATATTGGGGGGTTTTTTGGACAAATATAAGGTTGTTTCTAAATTGTTTCCAGCATAACACTCCAACAAAGATGAGACAAGGGCAACATTAGACTGTTAAAGTTGTGGACTTGCTAAAAATAACACCTCACAGCTGACTGGGGTTAATTGGACAGACACCGTTACATGGACAAAAGTACCGAGACACTTACACGAGCTGCCCATGCCATGAAGCTCCCAGCACACAGCTTTGGTGCTGATGTTAAAGCCAGAGGAGGTTTTTAGGGCAGTTATTGAGTCAGCAGAGCGTTGGCAACTTTTACGCACCTCAGGAGTGAGCAACCACGCTCTGTAACTTTCTGTAGTCTGAGTTCCTGTGGCTTCTAAACACTTGCACTTTGCAATAATACCACAGACATTTCTGGAAAAATTACTTCTTGGTTCAAAATCTCTGCACCTCCAGAATGGATGAAAAAGCTCAAGAAACAAATACAACAAATCTGCATGGTGAGGTGTTTGATTTTATCCAGCTAGACTGAAAACACCTAAATTTAAAGATTAAGAGGTTTGGCCCAATACTTTTGTCCATACAGGTAAGAATAAAGCTTCAAGTTGGGGATTGAAATCGTGTGCAGTGCAAAAAAATATTCATAATTTAGACAATCCAAGACTGGCAACCAAATCTAAATGGCTGAGATCTTTGGCCTCTTAGCCGTCATTGGTGAGCACAGTTTGTCACTACATCCACACATGCAACCCCCCGTCACCCATAAAACACAAATAAACATCATTAAATTGAGTGATGTTGAAAGCTGTCATTGGGTTTGCCCAATCAAAACCTTAAATTCTTTTTGGAAGTCATGGACATCAACATTCACGTTGGTATTAGGGTGCATTAGGCACATGGGTTGGGTGACTTAGTAGCTTAGCCCCCAGTGATGCTGGATGACGTGTGCAACATTTGAAGCAATATATGCTGTCAGGTGATGGAAAACTGTTCATGTTGAAACATTTATAAATCATTTTGTTGGCATCAAATTCAAAAATATTTAAATGTCTCTGTTTCAATGTTATTTTTACAGTTTCCAGTGAAATACAGACTTTAAATGATTTTCAACTCCCTGCTTTTTGTTAGTTCATTTACATTTTAACCAGCATCCCAATGATTTTGGAAAAGTGGTCGTGTACTGAATCTATAATTTGTACAATTTCCCTCAAAATTAGCCAAAGATCTTTATTCTAATGCAATACTGAGCACAACACTAAGTCACAGCCTTTGAAGCTACAGACAAACGTTAAACACACCAGATCAGTACAGCAGTTTAAATTGGTCCACCTATGAAGAAAAAGAACGATCGCATTTAAAGAAATAAGGAGAGGGAAAAAAACGTGAGAACAATACAACATTAAAAGATACAAAGAGAGGGAGATGTGAACTTGGCTAATGGAAAACAAGCAGGAGTCACTCCAAAGTAGCTTGCAATGGGGCACACAGGTCATTTGAGGTCACAGGTCACACAGTGGGACAGTGCAAACCCAGAAACTACCTCTGTGAGCAGTTCTGGCTCTACGGGACATCAGCCTTGGCCTCAGCCCTGTGGACGTTGCCACAGGGGGGACAGAAATAGTTTATTTTCACACATAAAAAATATAATAAAGACACTAGCAGGCCGTTATTAAAACTGCAGACATTTGGGACATGGTAGCACAGGACAAATTAAATTTTTGAAAAATCTACTTAATGATAAAAAGATGTATATGTATGATGTGATATCCCAAGATGCTTTGTAGTGTTTCAATACCTGCGGCTGCTGGCATCTCTAAGGACAGCTGCGCCTGGGTCAACGGACCGCGCCTCCAGCTCCTGCACCTCCTCGAGAAGAGACTTCCTCACAGAGCGGCGTGCGCTGCACGGCAGAAAAAAAGCTCATCAGCCCAATGAAGGAAACTGAGCGTTTCACCTCGTAGACACGTGTAATTCATTGTAAGAAGTGCTCAGTACGGGTTATGTAAACGCTTCAGTTAAGTTGAATAACGTCTGTATGGATCCCCCAAGTATTTATATTAAACGGATACTACTTACGCCGTCCAAGCGAAGTCTTTGAGTAAACACGCAGCAGGCACCAAGACCAGGCCCAGCCAGAAGTGCCAGCACTGCATCACCTTGCCAGCCTGAGGTGACAACACACAGGGCCCATTTATTTCCACTCATATATGAATCCACGTTGAGCATTAAGTCATTTTTCTCAGCAGCGAGCACACGGGTGGAGGTGGAGGAGAGAGACGGCTGTAACGGCTGGAGGAAATGTGACTCAAAAGTCATAAAGCGCATAAAGGGAGTTAGCCAAAGTTGAACATCTCGAATGTTAGGCAGAAATATTTAACAGCTTTCTCACCGCTTTTAACTACAACTCAAACAACATCACAGAAGCTGTGTGAACGTGCTAAGTGGCAGAGATGCTGGCGTCCCACCCCTCCACCCACTACTTGTCTATCCAGTCCACCCTCAGTGACCTTTGCCTCCCTTCTTACTCTGTCTCCCAGGATTAATCACGCATCTGACTACTGTCTCCATTTGTCAGCCTGTATGTCTCTCTGATACTTACTCCCACACAACTCTTACTCCTCTGATTCCCTCCAATCTCACTCTTTCACAACTTCCTTTCATTATTAGTGACTGCATCGTTTGTTGCCTGTCCTCACTCGTTTTGGTAAATCCCTGCAGTTTCTCTCCGCTTCGGTTATCTCATTGCACGAGCTTGTGTTTTGCTTTGCACGTCTTTGTCTCTAGGTGTCAAAATCGCATGCACCGTGTCCTCTTTAGCTTCGAATGCTTTATTGCCCGTATCACATGTTTCCCGCGTCTTGTTTTTGCATTTGTAAGGTTCCCACAGAAAGATGATAAACTGGGAAAATGAATCAGAGAGCAGCTGGAATCCCAACCAAGGCACGGACGATCCAAATGGACTCACACATAATCAGCGTTTCTGTCTGTGACAAATGCCTCCACACAAAAGACTCACAGTATATCACATAATCTCTGTGGACGGCGAGGATGCAGGCATGAAAACATGAATTTCTCTGCTTTGTTATATCCATAGAAACAGACTGTTGGTCTGAGCCGCTACATGGATCTGGACACACATGTCACACGTAGCTATTCTGAGCAGACGTACACAACTCGTTTTTTCATCCTGTGTCCCACATGGACAGATCGAAATATAGATAGAGCGAGCGAGGGAAATAAGAGAGGCAATAGTGCAGTTGGGTGGGGGGGCTGTCTTTGACCATTCCCCAGTTAGGCTGAGCAGCTGCAGAGATATTTGACCGCATTCCTGATTTCTGACACAAATTGAATTAATGGGCTGCGGGGAGTGGAGAAGGCTCTATTCCCTTCCCCTGCCACTCAGCGGGGCACCTCATCTCACCCATGCCTTCATGCCCAGACTCTAAAATGAGTCTCTTAATTAAGGGGTCCCACACATCACATCACCCCCCACTGGACCCTCATCACCACCACCAGCAGCGGCAGCGGCCCACCCTGTTGAGTCAACACCTCCACAGAGGGCAGTAAAAGACTGGAGCTCGGGTGACACGCAGCAGGTGTGGGAAGCCAGGGGGGCTCCAGCAGTGTCGCCGTGGAACACCCAAGAGGTGAGTCTTTTAGGCGCCATGTAACGGCAACCAAAACGGAAGGGAGGGGCAGGTGATTTTGCAGAGAAGAGATGTAGTAGGAAGGGCCTTTTTCTAACCTCCACCATTGCACCTTGTTATAAAAATGAATGACGCGTGTTTATGGCGAGAGACTTGCCTGGCCCAGCATGTCAGGAGCAATAGGGATGGTGGGCCAGATGGCGGAGTAGACACCGAAGAAGACGATCCAGAGCACCATGCTTCCCCATACCGCCAGGTGGGAGAACTACAATAGAGAGACGGGGAGATAGAGAGAAGAAAGAAGGACGGCGAGAGTTAAGGAGAGATAAAGAGAGAGAAAAGAGAGACAGCATGAGGTCAAATGCTTTATATACAGCTCATCCCAATATAGACAACCTTCCCCTCCCTCCTTTCCCTGTGTGTGATCCACTGTAAGGGGACTCTGTGTGAATTCCAGTGGGACCCGGGCTTCATTACCGCCACACTGTTGTGTGGACAGCTGAATGGACAGAGGTGTCAGTCCCTTTCTGTCCATCCTGCCAGTCTCTGCTTCCTCTCCAACCACAGGAAAAAAAGAAAGCAAACGATGTGGCTGTCATGGCTGGAGCTGCTGTTATCCTAAACTCCATCTCCACTTTGGCTTCTGTTATTTTAGAACTGAAAGTTGAAGCCACATGCTCAGCTTTCTCTATGTCTTTTTTCAGAATTTCCCCTCTTTAAGCCCACTTGTTTCTTTCCTTTGTTTTATGTCTATTTACTAAGGCAGAGTTCAGGAGCAGTCTTTGGAGCAGTGCTCCAAGTTTTGCCTGTGTAGAATACTGCTGTGTAATGTCACGAGCTGCTGCATTTTCTTATGACAGCTGGTATATTTTGACGATCAACAGCAGGATTATTTTTTTAAATCACGTTAACACGACTATTATCAGTCCCTTTCACCATCCTGCCTGTCAGTGACCTGTGAAGTAAATCAGTTAATGTCTCACGAATGGCAAGACCTTACTTTGTTTTGCATCATCACTGCCGTATTTCATTGGTATTCCAGCTAAGAATTGCTCGACAGCCACGCTTCCACTGAGACCGCTTCTGATGAGGCTTCAGTAGACGGATCAACTGAAAGGCATAATGCATCTTTCAGGTATGCATCATGTATCAGATTTCTGATGAACTTTTCAATATCTGTACGCCTCACTATGCACGGCCTGAGCTCCATTTGTTGCTTACAAGCTGAACGTCTTCAAGCACATTTGGCTGTTCTTGCAGCTGCTCCGCAGTTAAGTATCTCTGCTTGAGTTGAATGCTTAGTAGTGATTTCTTTGTCAAGATCTGGCACTTTCCAGACCTTTTTGTTTGTTTTTTTTAAACGGCTACATCTGAAAAACCGAGTAAAGGAAAAAGCTGCAGAGGAACTAGTTGGAAGAAAAGGTGCAAGCAACTGCAGTTTGAGAAACCTCCACCACAACATCAAGGTAGACCACATCTTCTGCCATGCTTTTCCTGACTATGAAGCATTTAGACCAGGTCGTATGGAAAACTTACACTGAAAGGCTCACAGAGTACCCCACCCTACCCCAACCCTCCCCTTTATTTGTCAACACTGGAGTAAAATACAGCACATGTTGTGTGGTGTATTAAGAGTGTGTTAATGCTCCTACCCTGGTCCAAGCTGTGGTCTCCATTCCAGCTTTCAGACACACTGTAACGACCACATACTGCACGCACACACACACACACACGCACACGCACAGAGAAGCGGGTGGGCAAATAAAAAAAACAGAAACAGGATTAGTTGACTGGCGACTGTGGAGATAATAAACAATAATGTTATACAGTAAACTCAGCAATGTCTGTTAAAATACTCTGGAGTCCCACAATCCCTCGCAGTCCGCACACACACACACAACAAATAAACACCACCGACATCCACATGAGACTCCAAGGGAGTAAAATGATAGAGAGTGTGTGACGCCGAAGCGAAAAGAGAAAATAGACGGACGAATGTCAGGGGGAGTCAGGCTGGCTAGACGGGACTAGATTGACTGGAGACTCATAAGGGCTCTGAGGAAGCAGCAACACTGTGCTGTGTACACAAACACTGTGCAGGTGAAAAAAAAAAAGCACAAATCTGCGCCAAAAAGCAGAAATCAAAACAAAAGCAGACACGTATAAATTTCCAGTACGACACTTACTGTGTAGACCATGTTTCCTGCAAACAGGTAGTCGTTTCCCTGACCGTTACTGAAGGGAGAGTCTGCGGAGAGCATGCGAGTGTCAGCAAACCAAACTCATCGCTTGCAGAAGGATGATCTGGGCAGGCTTACTTACCGTGCTCTAACATTTTGAGTGGAAACCAAAAGAGAATAATTGAATGAATCAGTGCATTGATGCAGTGTCCCCAGAACACCTGAAAGAAGGAGAAAGACACCGAAAGTGAGGAGGTGGAGGTGGAGGAGAGGGACAGTGGAAAACAAGTCAGTGTAAATTAATGCCAAAACACATAAATGCTCCATCCCCCTAAACTTCTAAACACACAAAAACATACAAAAACAGCAATTCCTCACAAGAGCACACAACTCCCACTGTTCTAGTGCCATCAAAAGTGAGCTCTGGTACACACACACATGCACACAGAGTAGGTTAAGCTGCTGGTGTACCCTGTAAAATGAAAGACTTCCTTATTCTCGCATTATGAATCTCATTATGGTTTGCAATGGAAACATCCCAGACTCCATAGCCCCCCCCTGTTTACTTGCCAAAGTCCCAAACAAACAGCTGGCATCACTCATCGAATCCTGAAGCCAAAAGGACAGATCTAAATGTGCGTGTGTGTCTGCGAACATCTGCGCACGTACTTTGGTGTTGAAGCCCTCGGCATTCTGGGTTATTCGGTAGAGCTGCGGGAAGCGGAGCATGTTCTGCTGGCTGCACGGCCGGTCAAATATCCCCAGAGTGAACGGAGGCAGAGCGGTAAATATCTGCAGCACACAGAGGTCACACATGCGCAGCCTTTAAAACGCTTAATGACAAATACAGTGCCTGCACATATTCTTTATTTATATCAGACTATGAGCATCAAAACGGCTTCACCTCTGCACACAACACCTGCTTTGTAAGTAAAAGTGCTCTGCATTTCCCCTGAAGTAATTCGCAGTCACCAGAACACATGCATACACTTTCAAACCAAATGCATGCAAGAAAGAGCTGTGAGGAGAAGACAAAGCAGAGTGCTACTCATACTGAGAGATAGAGTGAAAGATAACAATCGATATCCAGCAAGTGGAAAGTGTAACAGCGAAGGAGGGTGAGTGGGGTAATGGAAAATTGTCAGATAGTGAAGGGTGGATACTCACCACGTTGTAGAGGCCTATGCACCAGCGTTCAAAGAGGATCTGGCCAGAGAACCCGTTCACAAAGGCAAACCAGAGCTGGGACACAAAGAGAGGGATGAGAGGAACAATAGTGAAGGGTAAAACTGCCTTAGGGAGGTCCTCACAGTGAAAGCAGCAGGGGGAAAATGACAAAATGAGGTAGTGGTGT